GCTCTCAGCATGGCCCTGCCCGGGTGTGGGGGTCCCAGCTCCTGGCCGGGGCCGGGTCCTCAATGCGTGCCCCCGCAGTGCTGCCAGATCCTGGTAGTAAATGGCGCGGAGCTGGACGTCCGCGACCGCGACGGGTACACGGCCGCCGACCTGTCGGACTTCAACGGCCACAGCCACTGCACCCGCTACCTGCGCACTGTGGAGAACCTGGTACGATCCCTGCGCTGCTCCTGTAGCATTCTCTCTTCTCGCCCCTCCACCCCAGTGGTGGGTGTCGTCACCCCTTTTTACCAAGGAGGAAGCTGCGGTTCAGGGACGGGAAGCCCACTACCCCACACGACCTCTCAGCCCAGAACCACTGCCTACTGGGGACTGAGGGATTAGAGGCACAAAGGTTAACAGAAAGAGGACAGGGAAGAACAGGGTCACCCCAAGGGGTAAGGCTGGAGAAATCACAAGACAGGCCCCATTGGGAACAGTTAGGCTCATTCACCCGCCCATAGACATTAGCTTGGGTATAACTCACAGCCACCTCTGCAGAAGACAGTGTAAGTGTCCCGTTCCACATATGGATAAACTGAGTCTGCGGGGCACCAAGATCACATTACCAGTAAGGGGTAGAGTGGAGAACCTGCCTCGATGGCCCGGCCAGGAGCCACCTCTCAGCCCTTGCACTGTACATTTGCTGACTTCACGGCTGGTTCATAACTGGAAACCCATGCTACTCTTTTTAAATTATGTTATTATGGTAAGACAGCCATGAAGTGACCGGCTGGGACTTGAACTCAGCTGTGGATGTCTCCAAGTGCAGGGCTCTGCACCAGCTGGTACAATGCCTGCTTTGAGGCAACAGGCAGGGAGGAGAGTGGGCCTCACAGCCAACCCCAAAAGGATGTGAACTAACTCCATGGGGCAGCCTGGCCATGGAGGGTCTGTGAAATGAGGCCCGGAGGGAAGAAGGAAGATGGTCTGTGCCCTGAGCACCGTCAGTGCATCTGCCCTCCCTGCTAGCACAGGGGGATGATCCTGGCTCTGGGGGCTGCAGAACACAGCAAGGCCCAAAGGCCAGAGGCTGCAGGCGGGCCTGAGGATGAACTTCCGCCCCAGAAAGAGTCTCCGGAAGAGAATGAGTGGCCCAGCAGGTAGTGAGCACCCTGTCACTAGGGTATATAAACCAGGATGGACACTGGGAAGGGCTTTGCTGCATCAATGGTGGGTATCCCTTAGCTAAGAGAGTCTGTGACTCTGTTGAGGGACCGTGGGGTGGCACTAGGGCCCAGGGCACCTGAGGGCCTCTCTGGATGCAACTGCTAGTGGTCATAGGACAGCAAACACCACTCATTGGATTCTGACTTAGGCAGGTACCCTGCCGAGTGCCTTAAAGGTGTAATCTCAGTTACTCTTCACAGTACATTAAAAAATATAGGCCAGGCGCGGTGGCTCAAGCCTGTAATCCCAGCACTTTGGGAGGCCGAAACGGGTGGATCACGAGGTCAGGAGATCGAGACCATCCTGGCTAACACGGTGAAACCCCGTCTCTACTAAAAAATACAAAAAAGTAGCCGGGCGAGGTGGCAGGCGCCTGTAGTCCCAGCTACTCAGGAGGCTGAGGCAGGAGAACAGCGTGAACCTGGGAGGCGGAGCTTGCAGTGAGCTGAGATTCGGCCACTGCACTCCAGCCTGGGCCACAGAGCGAGACTCCATCTCAAAAAAAAAAAAAAAAAAAATATATATATATATAGAGAGAGAGAGAGAGAGAGAGAGAGAGAGAGATAGTTGGTTGGGTGCGGTGGCTTAGGCCAGGCACGGCGGCTCACGCCTGTAATCCCAGCACTTTGGGAGGCTGAGGCGGGCGGATCACGAGGTCAACAGATCAAGACCATCCTGGCCAACATGGTGAAACCCCATCTCTACTAAAAATACAAAAAATATTTAGCCAGGTGTGGTAGCATACACCTGTAGTCCCAGCTACTCAGGAGGCAGAGGCAGGAGAATCACTTGAACCCAGGAGGCGGAGGTTGCTGTGAGCCAAGATTGCGCCACTGCACTCCAGCCTGGTGACAGAGCAAGATTTCATCTCAAAAAAAAAGTTGACAGGCCAGGCATGGTGGCCCATGCCTGCACTTTAGGAAGCTGAGGTGGGTGGATCACCTGAGGTCAGGGTTCGAGGCCAGCCTGGTCAACATGATGAAACCCCATCCCTACTAAAAATACAAAAATTAGCTGGGTGTGGTGGTGGGCACCTGTAATTCCAACTACTTAAGAGGCTGAGGCAGGAGAATTGCTTGAACCTGGGAGGTGGAGGTTGCAGTGAGCCGAGACCGCACCACCACACTCCAGCCTGGGCAACAAGAATGAAACTCCGTCTAAAAAACATAGTTGACTATATGTCATTTACTGGGTGCCATGTCCTGGAGCTCAGCAGGGCAAGTAGTGCTGTTATCCCCATTTGCAGATGAAGAAACTTAGGCACAAAAAGCATAGGTGACTCACCCAAAATGACACAGCTAGTAAGTGGGGGAGGGGAAGTTTCAAGCCACTGTCCCAGACTGCAGAGCTGGGTGACTCAGGGCAGATGCAGTACACCTGCTGTGGCTCAGCCTCTTATCTGCTGCCTACAGGGGTCAGGGCTTGGTGCCCTCAGCACCCACTGCTGTTGGCCAGGTAAAGAGCACCTTTGGGTGCTGCCCAAGCCACCTCCTATAGCTCCCCTGACTCCTGGGGTAGGCAGCTGGGCCTGGTCCCCTGGAATGGGTGGGGGGTGTGTGCCCTGGTTCTCTCACCCAAGCAGGCCCAGCTTCGGCAGTGACAGATTCAAGCCACAGAAGATGCTGGCCCAGAAAAGGCAAACACTCCCACAGAGCCCCTAATTACGGGGCCAATGAGCGCAGCCGCCGAGCCGTTACCTGGTGCCAGGCCTGCCTCTCTCTCCCAGGGGGCCTGTGACACTTCTTAGGCAGGGAGGGGGCACGGGGCAAGGAGGAGTACGCCTGGGTAGGAGGCAGCGGAGCAAGCGGGCTTGCCGGCAGCAGGGGCAGCATGGGCAATGTAAGCAGGGCCCCCACCCCATCCCCCTCTGCACCGGGAGGGGACAGGCCTGTGGTCAGAGGCACAGACCCAGCAGGGCGGGGGACTGGCAGGCCTGGCAGCCTGAGCTCTGGCTGCCCATCACTGCTCAGCTGGCTACCCAGGCCCCACCCTTACCCCAAGGGCCCCATCAGGAGATAGGCCGGGCTGGTGTTGGGAGTCTGCCCCAGGTCCCAGGTCCGGCAAGGAGCGCTAGCTTGCCAGCCGGATAACTAGGGATGGGCCTGTGCTGTGCGCCTCCCCATGGAGCCTCTGATCCTTAAGGGAGAAGGCCAATCTCCTGGCAATTCTCCCGTTGGGGTGCAGCTCAAGGCCCCTTCCTCGTCGATCTCTCCACCCTCCTAATCAGGGAGGAGCCAGGCGAGGGAGTTTCCCAGGAACCTGGGTCCTGCTGCCTGGCGGGGCTGGGCTTGAATCTTAACTTGGAGGAACCTGAGAGACCCTCCAGTGATGCAGAAGAGACCCTGGAGAGGGGTGTGGCTTGACCGAGATCCCACAGTGAAGGCGTGGCTGAGTGGGACCCTAGCCTGGAGAGCAACACATCTTGGGGAGCACTTGCCTTCATGGCTTCCCTGCCTCCCCTTCAGAGCGTGGAGCACCGCGTGCTCTCCCGGGATCCATCCGCAGAGCTGGAGGCGAAGCAGCTGGATTCAGGCATGTCCTCACCCAACACCACGGTGTCAGTCCAGCCACTGAACTTTGACCTCAGCTCGCCCACCAGCACCCTCTCCAACTATGACTCCTGCTCCTCCAGCCACTCCAGCATCAAGGGCCAGCACCCTCCACGCGGTGAGTGTGCCCAGGGAGGAAGAGGGGGAGGGAGAGCAGACTGAAGCCAGACCACTAGGCTGTGAGGGTTGGCCTTGGGCCACCCTGCCACAGCCAATGTCAGAGACTACCCTCATCGCTTGCTCTTAAACATGGGGAGGAGACACCCCTTCTGCTGAGAAACAGATGTCACTCATGCGTGTGTGTGCTCATCACAAACACAGGTGTACATCCACATGTACTCTCCCCACACACAAAATCCACGTGTGCCACCCACCATTCATTATTCTCAGCTACTCACACACAAAAGCACACGCTTGTACATGTGTACAAACAGCCTACAAATATGAACACACACACAGAGCCATGCTAATATCTGCACACACCCATCTTATACACAAGCACACAATGCTCTATTTCCATACTACAGATATGCACACACACACACAACCATGTCCACAGGGCAATGCACACAAATTCATCAGTACAAAGAAGCACGTGCACAAATGCATACACACTCAAACACACACAAATGCACAGTCGCCCCAGCAGACTGCAGGCATGTGTGTACACACACCCTGACCATGCCCTGAGCATGGGCGTCTGTCCACTTGCAATGCCTGGTTTACGCCGCCAGATGGTGGCCTCCAGCCCCGGGAGGGGTGCCCTGCAAAGACTAGATGTGGCCATCCGTACTCCCAAGGAGTAGGCCCTTCCCTTCCAGGTGACCCTACCCTCTAGACACACCAAAGCCTCGGTGCTTCCCCTCCAAACCAGGGTGCCTGATCTTCCCCCAATAAGTGCTGGACTGGGGCAGGGCAGGGCCAGGGAGAGGAGGCCCAGCACCGCCAGGGGCCACAGCAAGTGTACCAAGTGGTGCCCTGGAGCCCACTGTGGCCCTCGGCAAGTTGTTTCCAGGTGGCGGAGAGTCTGTCTTGGGGAACAGCCTGTCCGCAAGCTCCCAAATCTGGCCCTTTCTTCTGCCTCCCCAGAGCTTTCCAGCGCTAGAGCTGCAGACATACAGAGCTACATGGACATGCTGAACCCGGAGCTGGGCCTGCCTCGGAGCATGATCGGGAAGCCCACACCC